GCGTCAAGTCAGATCGCAACGATGCAAGGGATTCGGACGGGCATGGCGCGCATGTCAAGAGACGCGAAGGACGCGCGCGAGGCCGACACGCGAGGCCATCGCGTTCCTCCTCTCCGCACGAAAGGCCCGTCAGCAATCGTGAACGCCAACGAGGGAAACTCACATGCTCATAATTTCTGCACGACAATTGGTGGACACCGTCCGTCCGATCGCATGCAGCCATAAATCCACGAAAGGCGTTTCTCGCTCGCACCTTCCATAAGAGCTCGTCATTCAGCTCCATCCCCCATCGAAGTTATTTATTATTTATATTATAAGTTATGAGTTATTTTCGGCTCATTCCGCCATTCCCGCTCAATTTCCTCCTTTTCCCGTCTTTCATCCTCTTCAGGGTTTCGATGCCTTTCAACGATTCCATTCTGTCTTTGTTCTTCAAGGTCTTCAAGATGTTCCAGACGACTTCGAAGACGTCGCCGGGGGCGTCCGCGAGATGGTCGAGGGCCTCGACGACGTCCTCGAGGTCCAGAAGTTTGAAGACGTCCCTGCCCCCGCGCACCGCGACCTTCGACACGACCGACACGATCCCCCTCGGTCGATGATCTCCCGGATGTGGCTCTGCTTCCCCGCCGCGATGTTCGCCATCTTCGCGAATCTTCCTGACTCCACTGGCCCGCCCTCCCCCGAGCATCGCCTTCGCTTGCGACAGAATCCCCGCATCGACCAGCGCCTAGACTTGATCAGCACTGCCGCGCGACACGTTCCCGCCCTGGCAGACGGCGGTGCTGCTCACTTCCCCACTTTCGTGGAGCACGAATCGTCCCATGTGGGGAACGAAGCCTGTGTTCACCACTTGCTTTATGTTTTCCCAGGCTTTCCCCGATCCCGTGAGATGCGTGAGCGCCTCCAAAGAATACATGAGGATCTTTGCCCCATTCCGCGTCATTAGTGACATGATGATGGGCAAAAGAGGTTCCACGACTCCGAACAGATGAGCCGGCCGACTGAACTTTTTGCTAAAAGTCCATGCACGACTCTCCAAAATGGAAACATTTGATGGCTTCAGGAGGCGTTCCACGACCCCCGACTCCACGCCCATCTCATACAATTCCGGACCGTCCGCGAAGACGCACCACCAAAGGCCCACACACCGCCTGTTCGACCGCCCGCTCGTCTGAATTTTCCAGAAGCCGGACGAACTGCGGGAGGGCACGGGGCATCCACGACCGCCTTCGCCTGGATGGAACTCCCCCTCGAGATGCTTCGCAGGACCCGCAGGGACGCGATCTGGGTTTCGCGGCGGTCGTCGACTCGAAGCAGCGAGACGAGTGGAGGGATCGCATCGGCATCGACGACTTTCTGGATGAGGGTTTTGGCTTGGGAAAAAATTCTCCTCAGACGCTCTGCACCTTTGTGCTGGACGGTGGGTTTCTTAACTTTTCCACCATGGCGACGACCAAGCTCCTGCCTCTCATCGTTATTAGTTTGGGTCGACTCTTTGTCTTCGTAGTCTATCGGTTTCGTCGACTCTCCGTTCTTATTGGCTGGATCGACTCTCCGTTCTCTTTGCTTATTGTTTGGTTCGACACGGAGTCAATACTTTCTGTATCATGGGTCTCGTGGGTGGTTGAGCTCGGGGAAGATGTTTCGGTCGCTTCCAGTCCTTGTGTGGAATGACCATCCGAGGGATTTTCGTAAGGAGCAGAGTTGGGTATGGGAGATGAGTACACTCATCCTCATGAGCACTCAAGGGTATCTAAACGATCTACCACTTCCTCCTCCCGTACTGGAACCTCGGGAGGCGGAGTTCAAAGGAGCTCTCTCCCGTTTAGGGTAGGAAAGGTTTAGTACTTGAAGAGCTGGGATTATACTCTTCCTTAATTCCGTGCAATGCTGAAATGAAAAGCTTAACTTCAGCATTTAATTATTCCCTGAGTCATATATTATAAAAATATATGTAATAGTTTCATGATTTCCATATATTGATATATATCCACGGATTGCATAATAAAAAGTGAAAGGATGAAAGACGGGAAAAGGAGGAAATTGAGCGGGAATGGCGGAATGAGCCGAAAATAACTCATAACTTATAATATAAATAATAAATAACTTCGATGGACGGGATGGTCAGCTAAAGTTTCATATGGATAGTGTGGCGTTAATTTTGCATAAACTTGATATCATGTACTTCACGTCAAATGGAGTGACGTCTTGTTTATGTAAAATACACGTACACTTTGGTGACGTAAATTTAGGAACGTAAATTTTGCGTATTCGTGATGTCATTTTCATGGCAATCGCAATAAATTTACATTGTTTGCAAGGAATTTATATCTTGTTTGCGTAAACATGCTGCTTGGGGAGCTTGGTGGGAGAGCTTTGGTTGGAGCCAAGCCACAAATGCGGATCCTTGCGATATCGGGGGATTTCGACGTATGTGGTGTGGTCTGGTGAGAATCTCTTCTTTTCGTTGCCTGACTGCTTCTCTTCCGTTTTTTGAGACTGTCAAGCTTCTTCTTCACCTGAATACTGTGAGAAATTCGAAACCCTTGCCTCCATTTAGTGGCCAAGAGGGGAACTTCACAATGTTTTCTCTAAAAAACCTGTTGGATTCCTATATGTTCCTGCAGGATTCTGAAACATTCCTATAGAATTCCTATTGGATGTTTTCGTAAGAGTCGCTTCTCACCACACACAAAGAAACCCTTGGAGAGAGACCATCGATCCGGACGATCTTGGATCCCTTCCAAACAAGGCGACACCAGATAATTGGATCCGGAGATTTCTCGCTTGTCAACGATGCATTTCCTCATCGCGTGTAAGGTATGGCAACTATGGGGATTCAACAAATAAGAAACCGCAGGGATGACCATTTGACCGGTGATGACCCGTCATGTATCGATTTATTAATTGTTGGCTCCGTCACCGTGGCTCAGTGAATAAGGGTTCCGGCAATCACGCGGGAGGTCCAGGTTCGAATCTGACCTGCGGAATTCTTCTTGGCCGACAGCCCACCCGGCTGCTTACTACCTGCTCCAAATTGGGCTCAAGCATTGGCCACTCTGTGCTCCATTGCGTGCGAGGTTGGGGTTTAGTACGCCTCTAAAGCACCCGACATATCACCCCTGCGATGTGCAGCGATGGATGGCATTCAGGCCTAAGCGGCATCGAAGTTGCCGTCAACTTCCTCGGACCCGTGAAAACGGGATACAAAGGGATTAAGAGCGTGGGTAAGTTCGGCAATGTTGTCTGCTTGTGGCATTTCTTCATTCCTGTGCGTCCAAGACCACGTTTTAAAATAACTAGTGGGAGGTATACCTCCTGCAGACCGGAGGAAACGAAGCGCCCTCTTGTCATGGAAGTAATCCCTATGATCTTCATAGACCCAGTAGCCCCCCGAAACGTGTTCATTCACCGTTTCAATGAGCCAAGCGTTCCATTAACGACCTTGGCATAGTTCTATTGACTGCTTAAATGTCCAAAACTCGAAGCGATGAAAAAGTGTCCGAATTATGCGTTCCCTGAACTACATAAATTTTGTATTTCCAAGAATTCACAATTAACATTTTGGAAATGCTCTTTTCACCCCTTAAATTGCATTCGGTCCAAGTAGAGCCTTGCTATCGTGGCCATGGTCGGAAGCCATAACGTAGTCGATTGGTCCGGTTGAAGGTACCATCGTCAGGGATAGTCAGGTCGAGAAACTTGGGGCAATTTCGCAATACTGAAACTATCATCGTATATTCGGTAGTCAGAAAACCCACCCACCAAAATGCCATTTCAAAGAGAGATGATGATGAGCATTTTCATTTCTTCCGTTTCATTCTCATTCTCTTGGCGCCATCTAGCGTCGATTGTGCAAACCTTTGCGCCATCTAGCGTCGATTGTGCAAACCTTTGCGCCATCTAGCGTCGATTGTGCAAACCTTGGCGCCATCTAGCGTCGATTGTGCAAACCTTGACGCCATCTAGCGTCGATTGTGCAAACCTTGGCGCCATCTAGCGTCGATTGTGCAAACCTTGGCGCCATCTAGCGTCGATGGTGCGAACCGTTCCTGATTGCTGAGCCATTGTCAGATGGGTACCATTGATGTGCGTTAGGAAAGCATCTTAAACGCCTGAAAATGCCCTTCAATCGCGCACGCTTTATTTAACCTCTGGACTTAGGCCGATCGCGGTATTATTCACTTCCTCGCTTCCTTGGAGTGCGAATCGCACTTTCTTTTTTGCTCGCATTTTCAATAATAGCGCGTAATTGAGCTCCGTCCCGATCGATGCAAGAACTTTCACCGCGATCGAACATTCGCCATTTCCATGCATTTTCTTCCTTCCATCTGCCATCCATCATCCATTACTGCATCACGCGATCGCAGCAAGCCGTGCGAATCATTAATGATTTCTGCCAATGAGAAGATACAGTTAATGATGCGAATGTTCTCAAAGGCAACAGGGACGTGAGTCGTTCGCCGAAGAGAAACGGGAAAATTTTGCAAAAAATTGGCACACCGTCCTCGGCAGCCGACGGGGCGAAAGCCTCTCCGCCGAACTCGCGACGCGATTCCGCTGCGGAGTCCATCCATTGAGTTTCATCTATGGAGTCCATGACAAAAGGGATTTTTATTCGGGGTCCATTTTCGGGTACAAACGATCATGGACGGCAAGTGATCCGAAAAAAAAGTATATATCATATAAAGCACAAAACCGTAAGTTGGGAAATACTGGGGAATATGGCGGATATGCAAAAATCCCATCGCTTTGGCAATCTCGCCGTGAAGGAAATTTCGCTGCAGTTATCAGGAAACCCATCGAAATAGCTTGATGCCAACCATCAGGAACCACCTCTCCACGCTTTTCCGAACGTATGCAATCTTAGTTGGGAAAATTGCAAAGTGGTGAAATATACATCTGTGCGTGCTAATTTGTCAGCATCGGGCAGTGCAGTTAATTGGCAGTCTTGATATCGAGAGGGCTTCCTTTTTTCTTGGCAGTGCGCTTCCGTGCGACTACGCACCGAAGCAACACGCGAACAAGTCCGACGGAATGGGCAGGCAGTCGCGGCAGTTGTTGCCGCTGACGTTGCCGCAATTCGTGCAGCAATTTCTCTCGACCGTGTTGCTGTTCCAGTTGGAATGGACGACTTTGGGGTCGTTCTGCATCCTCTCCATGATTTTGGTCCTTTCCAAGGATTCCATCACCGTCCCCGTTCTGTCTTTGGTCTTCAAGGTCGCGAAGATGTTGCAGACGATTTCGAAGACGTCGCCGGGTGCGTCCGCGAGATGGTCGAGGGCCTCGACGATGTCCTCGAGGTCTAAAAGTTTGAAAGTGCCACTGTCCCCGCGCTCCACGACCTTCCACACGACCGAAAGGGCTTCCTTCGTGCAGGAATGGTGTTCCGTCCGGTCCTTCAGGACTTCCAGGATGAGAGAAAAGACCTTGGAGTGTATGATCTCCCGGATGTGGCTCTGACTTCCCGCCGCGACGTTCGCCAGCATGCGATAGATGCTAATCTTCCGAACTCCTCTGGCCTTCCCTTCCGAGAGCATCTTGTAGACTTGCGACAAAATGTCCGCTGCTATCAGCGCTTGGACGTAATCCGCGCCGCCGCGCGACACGTTCTCGGCCAAGCAGACGGCGGTGCTGCTCACTTCTTCGCTTCTGTGCAGCATGAACGCCACGATGTCGAGAACGAAGCTGGAATGCTCCGTTCCCGATTTCGTGAAATCCGCATCATTCATCCTGAAATCCACCACTAGCCTTATGTTGTCCCGGGTTTTCCCCGATCCCGTGAAATGCATGAGGGCCTCCAAAGAATACATGAGGATCTTTTCCTCGCCAAGGCCCATGAGTGACTTGATGACAGGCAAGGCAGGTTTCACAAATCTGGACAGATTATGCGGGCGACAGAAGATATTGTTAACCGTCCATGCCAGTCTCTCATAAATGACAACATTGGAATAGGAAATGTTGAGGAGGCATTCCACGGCCCCCGACTCCACGCCCATCTCATACAATTCCGGACCGTCCGCGAAGACGCATCCCAAGGCCCACACCGCCTGTTCGACCACCAGTTCGTCCGAAGATTCCAGGAGTCGGATGAACTGCGGGAGGGCACGGGCATCCACGACCGCCTTCGCCTGAATGGAACTCCCTGCCAAGATGATTCTCAGGATCCTCAGCGACTCGAAATGGGTTTTTTGATAGTCGTCGACTTCCAGCAGCCCGACGAGTAGAGGGATCGCATCGGCATCGACGACTTCCTGGATGGTGGCTTTCGCCTGGGACAGAATTTCCCACAGTTTCTTTGCACCCTCGTGCTTGACGGCCTGCTCTAAGGCTCTTAACTTCTTTATCGCGAGGACCAACTCGTTTTCCTGTCTTTCATCTCGATCAGTTTGGGTCGAATCTCTGTCTTCGTTGTCTATTGGTTGAAATGACTCTCTGTCTTCATGGTCCATTGGTTGAGTTGCCTCTTCGTCTACGTTGCCTATTGGTTGGGCCGAGTCTCTGTTTTCGTTTCCTACTGGCTGAGTTGACTCTCTGTCTTGATTGTCTATTGGTTGAGTTGACTCTCTATCTTCATTGTCTATAGGTTGAGTTGCCTCTTCGTCTTCGTTGCCTATTGGTTGGACCGAGTCTCTGTCTTCATTGTCTATAGGTTGAGTTGCCTCTTCGTCTTCGTTGCCTATTGGTTGGGCCGAGTCTCTGTCTTCGTTGCCTATTGGTTGAGTAGAAGAATGTATTGGTTGCATTTTACGGTGAGGATTCATCGGACGGTTTGGCGTAGTAATGCGAAGTCGCTCCGCAGCGCGTGGGAAATTGTGAACCCCCCTTCGCAATTCACGGTCAGGTGTGCGCATTTCTGCGAGTGGGGTGTTCCGGCGGCCAAGCCTTATGGTGGCCATCGAGACGTTAGGGCTATATTTGGGTCCATTCCAAGGATTCCCCCTCTGTCGGGGGAGAGTGACAAAGTCCGCCTCGTGCCGCTGGCGCGTCTGTCTTCTTTCAGTTGCCTGGCTCATTTCCTTCTGATTGCTTTTTTTTAAACTGACAAGCACCTTCGTCACCTGAATGATACCGACGTGGACGTTAATCCTTGGGTTCAGACCAACTCATAAAGATAATACTTTAATATCATTTTAATCAAATTTTTCATTCTAAATTAAATAATTAGATACAAATTTGTTCTCAGTTTATACACAACGAATTAAAGTAGTATAACTATACGTAATCTTCAGTCCACCTCCTGGACGCCCTTAATCTTACAGTCTTTTCTTCAGTTTCCCCAGAAGCAAAGCATGAATGATATTAGGGCGTCATCCTGTGAAGATATTGTCTGCGACAGGTTCATTACGTTATTCCTAATTAATACTTTTCGCCCTCGTCGGATGCTAGGTCCTGCCTTACCAATGATCTATCGATGATTCGGTTGCAGGCGAGCAAAGTTGCAAATATTTTCACCCCATCGGAGAGAAAATTCGCAGATGTGGGGTCGTATAAAACAACTACTGCCAAAACTGACATTATTTCCATGAATAAATAGCATGGAATGAAGGATTGGGCCCGGGTGCAGATTCTAGGATATTAATGCTTACAATTTCCGTAAAATTGTCCCAAATCCAATTAAGAATTTCTTTTTCTCTTGAAATATAAAATCACGATTTTAGCACTCACTTCTTTCGAAATGATGAAAGAGCAAAAACCGTTTGGAAACTCACTTTGTCCTGTGCACGATGAGATTCCGGGTACACGTGGGCCAGGTACTTGGCGACACCTTCGAAGCCGTTCTGCACCGCCTTCTGAAGGAGGATCACGCCGTCGGCGTCTCTGGAAGCCGCCAGTCTTCGACGATCGAGGATTTCCGTGACTTCTTCTGCATCGCCTGCCGCCACCGCCGCGCGCAATTTCTCGATGTCCGCCTGCGAGTCCACGAAAATGCGACAGGAAATTTTTCGAAAATGCCTCGTGCAAACTGACGCGTTCCCCACAGCTCTAGCCAATTCGATGAAATAAATATTAGCACAAAGTGTCGTGGATGCCCAAGGCTGTACTCACCAGGTACCCGGGGACCCTCTCGAGGAACCGCCGAGCTTTCGGATGACAGACGGACGGGTCCCGGCCCGCCGAGTCCAAATATCTCCCATGTCCCAGCAGCACCAGGTGAAAGAGTCTCTCCACGTTGCCGGTTTGGATCCACTCCTTCAACTCTGCCTTGGTCGGGACTTGACCCGTCCCAAATCGATCGTGAAGATCATTCATCGTCGAAATCGAAGGCAGTCGGGTGTCGAGACTCACCGGTGGAATGAGCCTGTTGCTCATCGCTGGTCGTTGGAGAAACGGCATTTCTGCGCATCCTCTTCGCTCTGGATCTTCCGGAGATCGCTGCAGGTCATCGGGAATGTCATTTTAAGAAATTCCGGAGATTTTGCGTCATAGAGGATTTTGTGAGGGCGTCATATGACACTCACACGAGGCAGAATCTTATCGAAGCACGTACTTGAAAATAGGAGTCGCACAAATATAAAAATTCAAATGGAATATGCGACAATGGACTTCACGAGAGGAATCCCCCGCACAAAAAAATGTTATATGGTTCCACTCGAGAAGTTTTCATGACACGTCTCGACGTAGAAAACTAAGAAAGAGAATTCCTGAGAATTTCAAAGCGACGTCTTGCCATTAATCGAAGCAACATTTCTTTATGTCGAGTGATGAAACCTTCCTCGTTCGCCTCGCGGAGACCACGCATGACCCTGCTCATCGAAAATGCAGTTTTCTATAGATGCGTGGATTACAGACGGCCCTATTATTACGAGATTACGAGTCCCTTCGTAATGACGTATCGCGCCTTGCATGGGAATGGATGGCAGGCCCTTTAAATCGTCCACCTGCATCCACAAGGACCTAACAGCTGGTGGATGGCAGGGAACAGGAGGTGGCTCCTGAACCCGGTGGGCATCTTTCCACCGAGAGGGACATCCACCGAGAGGGACATCCACCGAGAGGGACATCCACCGAGAGGGACATCCACTTGGTCCAAAATTCACGTGAAGGCGTGGGTGGTAGTAATCGTTTTTCTTCTGCTCGGACTGTAGTTACATTATACAATATGGCTCGTCGAAAGGATGAGAATGCGCTTCCTTTCAACACTGAGGATGTCCGAGGAAAAGAAGGAAATGAATGGAAATCCTTGAATTCGTGATCCCGTTTGATCAACCTGGCTTTCCTTCCTTTCGTATTTCGCTCGAGGCCGTGCGTCCTCGTCCACCGGCACACGTGGAAAGTCGCCGGCCATCGCGGACGTTCTCTTGCGTCCACTGAATGTCGAGGGGAACGAAATGGTTACGGGGGAAGAAATTGGTGCGATTTAAAGACGCCATCTCACCGCGACCGTCACGGTCTCGAATTCCCGAGAAAGTCTGAGTTCGGTCGTTTTCCAACGAATTCGACTCACCTGAGTCTTAAAAAAAATCTACTGACGTGAGTTCAGCCGCAGCAATTCCATTTGATTTCGGACGAGGCTGAGGCTCGGGGCACACACAACAGGCCGCGGCAGGCCGCAACAGGAAACAACCGGCCACAGCCCCGACAGGAAAGGAACGCTTCCTCTGGCCTGTTGACCCGTTGCCCTGGTGACCCGTTGCCCTGGTGACCCGTTGCCCTGGTGACCGAATGTTTGCTAACTTCATCACAAATGAATCATACGAGGAAAAACTATCCCCCACACCCTGCTTAGTCATTGGGCGATTAATGGCAGAGAACGGTAATGGCCCCTAATCTTCATCGCTGACCCTTTTTCATCGACGACCCTTTCTCATCGCCGACCCTTTCTCATTGCCGACCCTTTCTCATCGCCTGACGACACCGCGTTTTGTATTCTCTCTCCACCGAACAGTCTCGTTGCGACGACATCGTTCAGGGTCGGTTCAAAATGTCGGAAACGACACTGATGCATGGGAAAGCGATTCGGATGAGGGACTTCACTGAAAAGATGGCTTCCTCACTTCATCCCTTCGTCCCCACATCGTCCGAACAGGCACGGAATCTTGTGGCACGGAAATTCCTATGCTCGGATCAGCCCATTCCATCGCCCGCGTCTGCCACCGATTGCCGCTGGAAAAAATTTTCCCACAATCCTCGGATTGATCGGTTCCCTGGGTTTCCCCCCCCCTTCCCCCCCCCCCCCCCCTCGCCCCCCATAAATCCAGGCTCCGTCCCCCGCTCGCCACCAGCGCCACCATGAACTCCCGACTCTTCTCATCTCTTCTTCTCGGTCTCGTCCTCGTCGGGGTCCACGCCGACGGAGGTCAGCGAAAAACCTTTTCTCTCGTTTTCTACATTTCACCTTTATATCGCAAATCAATCATATTCATATATATTATGTCCTTTTTTTTAGGCGGGAACGAATTACTGGGTGAGTCAGAATTGGATTCATGAAATAACGGATTAACATCCTCTAATTAGTATTCGTTAATTAGTTTGCTAGGTACTCCTTGCTCAAATATTATTTTTGTCCGAGTGAGTTAATTTGTCGTCTTCCTGTCGCCAGATGAAGCGAGATGCTTTGGAGGCCGACTCACCTACCGGGTAAGCTCCGGAAAACACTCCGGAAAACATTCCCAAAGCGACTCCTGAAAAGGAACTCCGGATTTTTCCCCCTCGAACTCGCCAAGCAAAAAAAAGCTGGTCTCTTCCGTCAGGCCCGGATCGCCCTCGGCAACGCGAAGTTCGCCTGCATCCAGTCGACCTCCACGACGACGACCACGGCGAACCCGAACGGCGACTCCGCCTTGAGCGCGCACCAGCAGCGGGAGATCGTCGAGCTCTATCGCGAACTCTCCACGTCCAACAACACTGCAGCTGGTGAGAACCAACATTTATTATACATATTTTAATTAATTAATGTATTTATTTTATTATTTTTATTTTTTATTTAGAGCAAGAGCGAGTTTTTTTTCTTTAAGTAAGAGTTATTTCAAGTTTAGCTGATCTTCCCGAGACTCGGCAGGAAAATTAATAATAGAAACTGGATCGCCTGTTGTTGCCTCTGAGAGAAAGCGGGAATCGATGCAGTTCGGCGTTTCTCGTGGCGTTCTTCCCGCGACACGCAAACGAGCGGAATCGGCACGTCCGCCGTTCGCCGTTCGCGACTGCCGCCCGGCTCCCTCGGCGCGAGAGGCTTTCCCTTCCGACTGAAAGGGTTTCGAAAATCGAGGAATTCCAAGAAATTCGGAGAAATTCCAAGGAAGGAAAAAAAACGAGACTGGCATCACAACTCGCCGAACACAACCGAAGTCGACCTACCTGGTCGCACGATGCGATAAACAGCATTTTCGTAAATTTCTCACGGACGAGGAATCTCGAGTCTCAATGGGCGTGAGTTCAACGCGCCCATTGAGCCTCGAGATTCCTCGTCCGTTCGCTTTAAACGCCGCCAACCCTGTGTTTCCTTTTCATGCAGAAAATGTGGCCAGCTGCATCGAGACGAACTTCGCCTTCCTTCTCCAACAGGTATGTGAGCACTTTATTCCAGAAATGTTTAAAATCTAACAGAATTTCTCATTAAAGATGTTAAGAATTTTTATTAATTTCAATTTCTGACATTTCGTTTGCGCTTCCCGATTCATCGATTACTCAACATCAATGTCTTGTTGAAAAATTGTTTCCCCCAACACGTCGGGCTCTAGCATGCCGCTCGTCCCCGCAGGAGGCAGCCCTGAAGCTGTGCATCCTCACCGGGGCCGGCTGGGTCCAGAGCGGCCTGCTCTCCCAGACGAACATCCTCAGCTCCTTCACCATCACCTCCGCCACAGTCAGTGCCTCCTTATCGTCTTAGAGAGTCTTACGGGGCGAGAAATGAAAATTCGATCTCTTCCCTTCAGTTCATCCCAGCAGTTACTGACTGCGTGACCAGCGCCAACGCCGTGACTGGTGACGCCGCAGCAAAGGTAATATCTTATTTGTTTATTCATTTACGACTGATGCCATCGTACTTGAACCACACTAGACGTGTACTCCAATCGAATTCCATGAATTAAATAATCGTTCGCAGTTCATTCCCATTCAACTTATTTTATTTGTGTCCGTAATATGTAAGACCGTAATATGTAAAAAAATAGATGTGAAAACAAAGTTTCCTCATTTAACAGTCCACAGTAAAACATCATTGAAGTCTATAATTCAAATTCCAAAAAAGGTCACAAGGGCTTAGAAATCACGCCAGGCAATGTTGTCGTGTATTCTCATGCAGCCGTAAAAAAACGCGGGACTCCAGAGTCCTCTCGTGTCAGAAAGGCTCAGTGTCGTTTGCTGGCATGAGATATAGACGATGTTTTCCCGACCGCACAGGTGACAGCCTTCTTCACGTGCTGGAATGGGAAAGTCGCGAGCAGCGGCTGCCAATCCAGGGAGGAAGGACGTTGGGGAGGAAGAGGCAGAGGAGGCCACTGACGTCGCGATTAAGCTCAAGCGGACGTCGCTGTTAAGCCTGAGCGGCCGCGGTTGAATCAAGGTCAGTTTCATCACGCCTCCCTTGATATATGAAGCGAGGAGAAAAGAGGAAATGTGAAGCAATTTCACCACTTAGTAAATTCTTCAAAAAAATGAATGAACTGCAGTGAATTGTTATTGAGCCTAAAAGCAAATTTCATCCTCTCAGATATAATACTCACCATCGTTACATCAATGTTCTTAATTTCCTTTCATTCATTTATTAAAGTATTCACGCTCTAAGCCGAATATCTTCAGTTACATTGAACTCATCGGTTGCTTGATTATGATCAAGTTGCATCCACTTATATTGAATTTAATAGCAAGGAAAATTTTTGTTTTATGAAGCACATTAAAGTTTTGTCTGACTTCATTGTGGCCCTTAATTATATTTTCCTGGATTTCAAAAACGTCACATTTCCTAATATGCATTGGATTTTCTCAGGTTTTGCAGGGGACAAACGGAACGGAGACGACTCACTTTTCCCTTCCACCTTCTCATTTTTCCTTCCATGTTCTTTTTTTTCCTTCCACCTTCATTTTCTTCCTTTCGCCATCTTTTTTTTTCTAACATCATTCGCTTCCAGATTATCGAAGGCACCCAGCACTTCCAGAGGAATAAAGGTTTGCGCAAATATATCCAATTTTCTCTGTTATTCGGCGACGACCCGCAATTCCCACCGAAGGTCCACGACGGACAAGACCCCACCTCGACCCAGTCGCGTCCAGCTTGATTCATTAAGACGCTGTGAGCCGATTGGGACGTTCTGACTGATCCATTCATCGATTCACAAGTACCGTTAATAAAAGTATCCATTTGCGAAACCCTTGCACCAAAACATAGGATCTTCTAAAGGTATTATCACCTAATGGCAACCATGGCGACAATGGCAACTCATCTGGTGAAAGGTATTTGATGTATTCGACAAATAGACGAGGAAACAATTCGCTCATCTTTCAAAATTAAAGGATTGAGGTCAAATGGCAATGTCAAATTCCGACTCCCACCGCAAGTTCTCTATCCATATTAGCAAGCAAAATCATGCCAATATGACCTCAATGCCGCATTGAATTCCGTCAGACTGCCATCAAGCAAGGAAAAAAACCGACATCGCAAAGGAGTCATTGCCTACCATATAGGAATCTTATAGGTTTCCTATAGAACCTGTAGGGTTCCTGTAAGTAAGCCTGCATTCCTCAAGGGAGTCCATAAGATTCCTATATCAATCGTATAGCATCCTATGGGTTTCTCGTTGGACTTACCATAGGCGTAAGAAAGTCCTCGAAAGTGGGGGGGGG